AAAGAGCGAAATGTCGCGAAATTATTCACAATTATAAAAGATACACACACACACAAAGCGAATCATTATTCATTTCCCGGCATTCACTCGTGACAGCACGAGGAATACTTCTGATATCATGTATAGCATTGTTTACCGAAACGCCCGTGCCACCACAGTACAATACGTTATTTTCCTTTCAACTGCGAGATCTCACGAGTTGCGTGAAAGACGCGCTCCGAACATCTGTCGCAAAATTCGAATGATTTGATTTTTGAACTCGTTTTTTCTTTATTTCGTAGCTCACATCGAAATTTGACAGGGGAATGTTGCGTTTGAATACCCTTACTTCATCAAAATTGTCTATCATCAAATGTGTACAGCACATTATTAAGCATGGAAATGTCCCCCAAAATACTTTCGCGTTTGTCGAATCCCACGCGATGTTTGTCACCACTACAACGCTATGACCTTTGTTTGTCTTGTTTTTACGTTCGATTTCACGCATAACGCGGGATCTCGCAGTGAACGGGAAATGGTCTATTCACAAATATAAGCTAAAACATGAAACGGCGTACGTAAACTTGCAACAAATCCCATGATACACCACGAATAGAAACATTTGAGAAAGATTCATCTTTAAATTAGTCGACATTATTGAAATCATTTATCAATCTTTGTTTTTTGTATATAGAGTACGCAATCAACATCATCTATCAGTTACTGTCATGCAAATAATACCTACATTTCTCAATTCAAACGGAAAGGATTCGGACGTCGTTGTGCACGTTGATTGGCTGGTTTGAATCGATATTTATAAAGACGAAGTGAATGCCTTTGTTGCGACAAGGAAACCCGCACTCGAATATATACTGTAGATTCTCTGGTCTGCCTCTTCATTTCAGTAAAGTTACAACAACAGCATTCAGTTGAAATAATAATTTAAAGGGCGGTAGTCGTTACGCCGCGCATGTGCGACATTTTTCATTGATCTTCCCACAATCCAATGCGATCACGAGTACGGGTTTGCCCTGGGCGCCACTTACACTAATTACCACCGGCGACTCCTTCGATACCTTTCAAACAGCCAGCAAAATACCTAATTAAAGCTTGGTAACCTCTCAGTTTGTACTAGTTGGTGTACGCAACAGTCAAAATCGCCATCTTTCATAATGGTATGATATGTGCTGCCCATCGTCTCTCTCTCGACACACATACATACAACAAGGTACAAGGAAATAAGTATATTTACTCTCTGCGTATTTTAGAAGATTTTTTGCAGCGTCGTCGCAGTTTGGGTGTGATGTCATAGTATACTTGTGTGACGTACCTGCATTTGTGCAGAAAGGCAACGAGTAGACGATACATTAACGGAAAACGGTAGCAGATATCCGTAGTTCTTTGCAATACTTCAATATAACCAGACGTTTGTCGGACAAAGTATCCGCTTGAGAAAGAATTACTTACTACCATTTTCTTTGAATTATATTTATCAAATGTTCGTCATTTTAAATGCAATCGGGGCACCTATACGGTACACAAATATGAAATGAACCAACATACATCTGAAATGAACTACAGCCTCTCCGACTTCAGAAATAGCGGACTGTACTTGTATTGAAAGATCGATACCTTGTACATTTCGCACCTGATGTACATGTGTCAAAAACGTATTACTCAATAAAAAGTTTGTAGAAATCGCTACCGCATACAGATTTTTCCCGGGGAGGGGTACTTGTCTTGGAAAGTTGGCAGGGATTTGTGGCCTTATAACGAGCCCATAATATAAACCATTAAAAGTTATGATTAACTTCGATGATATGAAATTATGATTCTACCACGGAGTCATTATAGAGCTGAATGCAACACAATGTATTGTTATACTGAATCATCGACCAATCCTGGGTATGTGGGGGGGGGGTTCATTTGGTTTATCGATCTTCACATATGACCTTATAATAATGCATGTTCATGTTTATTAATATCAATATATTTCTTAGAATCATAAAGGGCCGTAGTCGTCACCCACGCATGCGCGAGATATATGGGTCTCATATAAACAAAGATGGTGACTTTGACCGTTGTGCAGATCAACAAGTATAAACTGAGACGACTGTGGCGTCAACAAATAACTTAAACATGAAGTTAGTTGAACACGTTTCTAAAAGTTAATCTATTTGATATTATTGTAACAAATAAATAGTGTCAATTTGAAATTTTGCACAAGTTTCATTCGTCGTAAATTCATATAGTGAATACAAAATTAAATGTACTTGAAGCAATTTAGAATCTGATAGTAGGAAGCTTCACCATATCAGTATTGTGGAATTTGAGCATGGATACATTTTGCTCTTTTTTTTTATCCGACTACCATCGAATTTATACACACGAATTTTTGGTCACGTGCGCAAATATTTGGTTTCAAATGTTTTTTTTATATAAATATCAACTGTAAAATAATATACTCACCCTTAGTCCCTCTGTAGTCATAGGGGGAGAGTGGTGCACGTGACCTAATTAGCAATTGTTAAAGACTACAATAAAAACCAGGAAATGTTAATTTTGTTATCCTAACCGGAACACATTATTATATGCAGAGCCCAAATACTTATATATATTAACAATTATCCCCATTTTTTCCACTGATCTCAAAAAACGTTTTTTTGTTTGTAAATAAAAGTAAATAAACAGTAATCTCTAATGCATCGTACCCATATATTAATAAAACTTCAACCCAAAAGGGATCAAAACATAAACAAAAATTGTCATGTTTTACAAATATTACTTGATATACCATTGCTTTGCATATGTTGCGATGTTTGGACCGATTGGGACTTATAATAATGATCGACGCCACACATGTTGAACTTCCGGCGTCGAACGGCATTTTGGGAGTTCGCCTCATGTCCTTCGTGATACGCATGCGCCATACTGGAGGCCGCCATTTTGTTGCGGAAGCCGTGTTATACACATTTTGAACCGGCATCAATAGTTCTTGGGACAGATAAAGTATCTGCCCCTGTTTGTGGATCGAAATGGCGGATAACAGCATTCGAGTGGTTCAGGAAGATGCACAGTTTCAAGTCGAGTTGGCAAATGCTGGAGAAAAACTGGTTGTTGTCGACTTCACAGCGTCGTGGTAAGCTTGAGTTCAACTATTTTAATACACGTACATTTATCATGATTCATCAAAATTGATAACAACAAACGGACGAAATAAGTCTCTCTTTCCTAATAAATAAATAAATAAATAACGGTAAAGCAGTGTTTGTGATAGCTCTTCTATATGTCCATGATCTTCTTTCAGTCAAAACGAAACAAGTGAAACAAAAATCGTTCTAACGAACATGGTGTAACGATCAGATTGAAGTTCCAATGAATGAATGAATGGTCATGATTTTCTTCACATCCGGCCATCGATATAAGTGATAAAGTTTACTCTGTATTGCAGCACAAATTGTACCATGTTGAATACAAGCCTGCAATGGCAATAGCCCTGAGTACAGTCCTTTAGGTTGGCCTCCTTCCGCTGATCATTCGGCCCCACAGTCCTGAGAAGTCGCATAGATAGAGGATTCGACACTATTTGAAGGAATGTATCAGTAAAACACAGAGCTACAACAATTCAACAAATTGAGTTGAGGAAAAACTTTTGAAATATTTTACTAGTATTGTGTTTGTTTTCCCAGTTTCACCACAGGGAGCCCAGGAACTATAATCAACTGTAATACGCAGTCTCTATGAGTGGGGGGGGGGGGTATCGGCTGGTATCTAGTGTAAGAAATAGACAAGGGATGAAGGCTCCAGCCAGCTCACATTTTTTAAACTCGAAAAAAATATAAAATAAAATATAAAAAAAATACCAGGTTGAAGAATATTAGTTGCTCCTTCGAATTTCGCCAAAGCCTTACCTACATTTTACCGATAACTGCAGAATAAATCGAGAAAACTACACAAATTGACTCCATTTAGGAATTCCTAACGGTTCGTCCGAACACACGACACCGTTGGAGGCGTGGCCTGTTCAGTATTTGTCAACAACCAATCACAAGACTGGTTACGAACCAGTTGACAAGGCTAACCGAGTCGTGACCTACCGTATAATTTATAAACAGAAGTCCACACCTAAACAGAAAAAATGTGGCATATATCAAGTTGACTGCAATATGTTATTGTTTGCCTTCATTGTTATGTATATTGGCCATTATTAATGTAACTTGTGCACTGCTACACTACACTACTGTTGTACTGATTATTAAATTTGATACATACCTCCTCGAGTCTTCTAGTGGTTGCCTGTCTTCTAAGTCTAGCAAACATGTCTGGAATAACTTCCGCTGGCAAACACGAGAGGGACATCACTTTACGAAGCAGCTTGAATGTTGCTTCATCCTCCATGTAGGCTCTTTGCAAGCCAGCAGACTGGATGTGTCTCCAGACTGCCTGCTTCCAATGGAACGCACACCCTTTAATGTTCACAGCAGGATAAACATCTCGAATTGCTTTCCACATCGCTTCTTCGAAATCTACCATGCACTCACTAAGAGCGATGGCCTCTGGAAGTAGTTGCCATGTAACACACTGATGTAATCTTTCTTGCTCTTTCCGGACATCAGAATAAAACAAGTGACCTGAAACAAAGAAAATTTGTCTTGTGAAAATTGAAAATACTAGTAGTTATACAAAATGTTAATTGTTATTTTCGTCTCTAAAAACGACCATCAGCAAACAACAGTCCAAATTAGACTGCTGCTTCTTGTAATTGGCAAAATATTTTGTTACTTGATTGCAGAACCACCTTTTATTTAGGCCAGTCATCTCAATAATAAAGACACCGTGTCAGGAACATTTGATGTACTAGTCAGGCCTTTTTTAGATAATGTTGACTGTGGTCAATTTCATGTTAGACAATTAATCGTTTCGCAACTATTAAATTTGAAAGCAACTTTCATGATTATCATGATTGAGCCCAGGGTTTAAGCGATGTGCCCACTTGAAAATGAAATAACTGCAACCTCCCTGAGTTCTTGGAATTAAAAAAAAATGACAAAAGCTGATATGCCCAGTGTAAAAATAAAAAGCATTTTAAAAGTTTGTGTACATGCATTTTACTATTTAAAAAACAAATTCATTTAAAACGGTAAATCACTTCACCACGTAAAACACGCATTTGTTTAGCGGTACACCTTTGTAATGAAAGATTAGCACTGAGATAAACCCCATTAACAGCAGTACACCTTCGTTATAAAAGATTAAAGCGGGAGGGTCGTCACCTGCGCACGCACGAGAATTGAGTCCCAAGCGACGATATCAACATACGCTGAAACGCAAAGGTTCATGCGTAGACGCTTGTTTGTAAACAATGACACGCTATGGCCATCTGACGCATGCACAGGTGACGCGTCCCCCGCTTTAACACTGGGGTAAGCCCCGTTAACAGTGGTATACTTTCGTAATAAAACACTGGGACACACCTCATCATCAGCACAATGTTAAAAAGAAAAAAAATCTGAAATGTGAAATCCTATTGTATTCAGGTAAACGAATCTTTGCCAACAAAGACCCTACTCAACTTCTGTAGACAAATCTATGGAACTCACCATAGTCCCAGTATTTTTATTTTTATATTTCCATTGAACAAGTCAATGGAATCAACACATGAGTGAAAGAAACACAGACAACATATCATTGTAACATTTATTGTATACACACATTCTTCAGTTTAAAACATTTTCAAGTATGAGTGTCAATGGCCAATTTAGCGTCTTTTTTCACATGACGTTTGCCGAATGCGCACATATAGCACGTAATATGTGCGTTGAAATATCACCATGACCAAGTGTTAAATCATTATTCAATTATGACACAATATGTAAATATCTTTAGACTCTACAAGATAAAAAAGAAATGAAATATTTATTATTTCGGAGTGTCTCGTGCCACGGGCGTGGCAGGAGACAATGTGGCTATTGCCACGTCCCAGAAGTAAACGTACCGACGTTCTATGTGTAGTTTTGGCCGTCATATACAGATTTTTCACCATCGGTGTTTGGATAAAATACTATAACAGTAGTGTCGTTGGCAGAAATAATTTCAATTCGCGCACTTTATATGAAAATGCGAAGTCCAACCATTGACGGAACCTTGGTACGCCCTCTGGTGTTTGGAACTTGGAACACTACGTTTACCTAAAGCCAACCTCGGTGTTTATCAACTTGACTAATAAAACTTGCGAATCACCGTTGACGTTTTAATAAACTACTGCTACAATAGTTCCATTGTTGTGTACAGTAAAAATAATTTTAATTCGCGCATTTTATACCAGTGTAATAATTGCATCGATTAACGGCTAACGACTAATAAATATGGGAACGTGTAAAAAAATGTTAATGTACTATGCTAAGTTTCGGGCATATTTCAAAGTAATCATGGTGTAATTGCGTCGATTAACGACTTGTATAACAGGGAAATAGTGTAAACGTACCACACAGTCAGTTGTAAAAGTAAATGTGGAAATAGTGTGCTAAGTTGCAAGGTTTTTTCTCTAAAAAACACCAGGTTGCAATGACTTTGAATGTACTATTGATATTCTTCGTGCCACAAGCGTGTTCATGCTCTCTGTTATAACCTCACTTTCAATTATAAAACCTGTTTTATTATTCAGATAAAATAACTTGGGTTTTCATTCGTACAGTCGATGGCCTCGTCGTCATAATTCAAAGTACCAAATGTTGCATATTATTGAATATTGGTAATTCCCAGTTACATTTAACATTAACCATTTTTCTGACTGTAAAAAAAAAGAGGAAATAATATATTATTGGTACTATATAAATTGTATTTAAAACTTTAAAAGTACGGTAACGACGTCGTGATTTGCGAGTTTTATTAGATTGATAAATGCCAAGGTTGGTTTTAGGTACTACTTAGTGTTCCAAGTTCCCAACACCTGAGGGCGTACAAAGATTCCGTCAATGGTCAATCTTTGCATAAAATGCGCGGATTGAAATTATTCTGCCAACGACACCACTGTGGAAGTATTTTATTCAAACACCGATGGTGAAACAAGTGAAAAATCTGTGTATGACGGCCGATGTATACCTGTCCCATTGCCTGTCGGCCACCCCTCTATTGTGAATGGGGATGACTACCCGCAATGGCGGACATCAGTTGCAGTGTTTGCATCGGCAATAAAACCCTGACTAAAATGCGATCATATGGTAGATTTTATGCTTTTTACCAGAATCGAAACCCCCAGTAGGCCCTACTGTGTAACATCGGTAAATCAAGCGAAAAGGAAAACAGGCGAACCGGTAATTGGGCGAACTGGTAATCAGGCGAAGGAGTTCGGGCGAAGTGGATTTTGGGTGAAGTGACTGTACCCCGATGGAGCTTCTTTGTTGACAGTGTGACATCAGGCGGATGTGCTACAGCCGATAAGCAACTAAGTAAAAATAAATAGACAGTTCTCGTACCAAGATACATCGTACATACACTCCTCGCGCTTACTTTGATCTTTGCCGGCAGTTTCCCGTCCCTCTTTTCGAGGGTCTATGCTGAAATAGAATGTATAAGATGTGTATTCTTTGCCAGCTGGCTGCACACATGCACATGCACAGATGTCAATCAACCAGGGATATTAGTACAAAGACGATGACAAGTGAATGAACAAACTTATTTCGCATTGTATCAAAAATACTAAGTGTTGTATCATGAAATATGCCCTGCAAAAGACATAGAAATATGGTGTAAATAATAAAGCCATACATTCGTTGTGCATTTAATATATTAACACTAGATATGAACTCATATCAAATATAATTCATACCAGGGTAAAAACCAATGTGTTTAGGGCCATAATGTAAGTTTTATTTACCGTGGTCGGAACGTCTAGAAATCTGGTTGTCCGTGTCATATTTGTGTGCTGCTGAAACTACCCACAGTTCAGTTCCTTAAGTCATTCATTTAATCAAAAACACAATCAAATACGGCAACACGTCTTTGCAGTATTCATATCAGTGGAATTGGAGTGCATTAGCAAGCGGTCTATTGGCATGTAAGATCAAGTCTGAACTGCAAGAAAACTTTACATTCATTACAGCATCCGAGAAAAAAAAGATCATCGTCGATTGGATTTTAAAACGGAAAAACACAACACATCATGCTCAGTAGAAGCTAATTCATTAACAAATTTGATGTACCGGTATTGTGTTTTTTAAAACTAATTGCGTAAAGAAACTTTATAGACAGTGGTATTTCACTGTCTTTATAGTTACATGATCTAAGAAAGTGTTCTCAATCAGAGGATGAACAACACTGTCATGAAATGTTCAGCATACATGAACATAGACAATCTGTTATTGAAAAGAGTCACCACTGGAAACATTGGTAACAACTGCCAGTCTACATACTGTAAAATACTTTATTTTCGCTTTGAATTAATTTTCACTGTTTCAGCTAAAGGAATGATTCATTATAAATAAAATCCAGCAAATATACCTTTTTTCCTATATTTTACATTCAACTTGTCAAAAATCAGTGAAAATAAATTCCATACAAAACACTCAAAAAGTCTATTCAGTGAAAATTAATTCCAGCAAAAATAAAGGATTTTACAATAGTTGAGACATAATCTATGTTTTTTGGATCATGTAGTGTCAAATTTGATCCTAATTTGTCATGTTCAATCAAGTTATAAGGGATTACCGGTATATTATGTTTTGGCCGTGAATTTTTCGACCCAAATGTTTCGGCCCTGTTTTTTTAAAAAAAAAAAAGAATGCTTCAGGAAAAAAGAGACAAATTATAAATATTCTTGCTTGTAACATAGGGCTTTTTAGTAATTGAATATAAATCAACTGTGTTTGTAACGTACAGATCGTAAATGTAAACATTCTGTGCTTTTGTTCTTTTGTTATTTTACATGTTCATTTAATTTAGCAAGCTTTACGTATCAGCGAAAATAGTGAAATAAAAAAAAAAGTGAATAATTAATGCTCTTACTGTATCTTGTGATCCTTTTAATTTTAATATTAATGCTTACATGTGTGAAGGCTCAAGAATATATTATTTAAAATCATTTTAAAAACATTTAAACATTTGTGGCCCAAATGTCTACCGTTGAAAAAAAGCCACAACCGAAAAACTATGAAACGTTTTGAATTGAAAAGTCCATATTTTTGGGGAGTGTCAATTTCTTGTTGTACTGGTCTACTAGACTGGTTGTTTTTTTGGGTATTGTTGATTAATGGGATGTTATGTATGTCTTACTGTTTGTAGGTGTGGTCCTTGTCAACGAATAGCGCCTGTGTTTGCTCAACTCAGTACTAAATATCCTACTGCTGTCTTCCTTAAAGTCGATGTTGATCAATGTCAGGTATGTACAATTAATACTGTTAAAAAAAAAAACATTGTTAGTGTAGAGGGAGATTTTGCATGTCTGAAATCAACAAAGATGTTACCATTGTACCCCATTATTTGGGAGATTATAAACATTGTATTATGGAAACATGAATTTGGATTATCCAGAATGACAATCAAGATGAACTTTATGTTATTATTAACTATTCATTTCTGTGACTGATTCTGTCTAGTTTCTCCTAATTCCCAGGCATTTTCATTGCTTGGCAACCATAACCGATGAAAACGATCAAAAACTCTCAAAAAACTGTACTGTAAAAATATATGGTACAGTGATGCGCGTGTCTTAGCAACATAGAACGTTTGTGATGTAGCTCCACTCTAGAAAAGAGAACACGTACAAGCATTTAAAAGAATTACCCAGAATCAGCCTAGGAAGTTAACTTTTTGGCAAGGAGCAAAATGCTCCTAAACCTAAAATTTTAGGAGCAAAATTGTTTCATGTGTAGAACAAATAAAATGTGTTATGCTAATCTTTGCGAATACAACTACAATAATGACATACTGTAATGAGAGATACTGTTCTGTTACAAACAGTCTTGATTTTTATCCTGGTCGAACACTGCATGTACGATGTTATCAGGCCACACCAGTTTCACATTTGATAGTCTTGCCCGCACCGATTCCAGCATCCATCTGGATGAAGGATCAAATTCGGCCAAGCTAGGGCCTTCCAGGCTGATAAGTATTAGATCACCCACATCTTCCGTTTTGTGGCTGAATGCGAGGATGTAGGATCTGATGTCCCAGAGTTTGTTGTTGGGATTTTGTTATGCCCAACCGGCCGAATGAAATTAGTAATCTGCTTATTCGAGCCGAAAATGCGACAGTGTGACACGACTTAATTGACACTGAAAAACGCCGTCACGTTAGCCAATGAAAATTATTTAATTGACAATCAAAAAAGCTGCCGACAGTGTAAAACCGGCATTCATTTAAAAAAACAACTGTATTTTGACTAGAACAAAACAACTGCCAATAACATATTTACAATGTTACTATTCCTTTATTATGACTTTCCAAGTACATCGTAAATTATTCAAAGCCTAAATATCGTGCACGGTATCTCGTCTAGTCTGACTCGTGCAAGGCACGTTTCAGCTGCGTGTAGGGCTTCAATTTTCACTCGCAAAATACAACAGTTTCTGAAATCTACAAGCTAAATGCGGATACTTACAAGTTTGTACTTGCATGGATGTATATTTTAAGCGCATTTGCGAGTAGCTACTCGCAACTTCCTAGGCTGAGACTGCTCATTATAGAAGGCAGTTGTTCATTTAAACATGCTAATGGTGACTGCCAAAATGTTGGTAAAACTTTTTGCATATATATTATGCATTTTTTTTATAGTTTCTTCAAAATTTTGAATATTTTCAAGTTTGAGTAGTTCTTGTAGATTATCATCTGGTAAGGTTTTGTAGTTTCATCCATCATTTTAAAACTCTACTGAAGTAAGCACAGTGTCATGATAAAGTATAAGACACCACACGAAAGACTCACTTGTCCAAATTTCAGCTTTCAAGCGTCAGTCAGAGATTGTACTCAGAAAATGAAAGATTTCGTGAAAAGTCAAAGCTAACTACAATATAATAACAATTCTGGTAGTGAAGTTGCACCTGAAATGTACTGTAGATGTCAGCAACAAGATTATATTTACTATCTTGCTGCAAG